AAATTTAATGACATTAGACCAAACGCTTCTGCGTATTGGGTGGCCAGCATCGGAACTACAATGGCAATTTATGAGCAGTCTTTTTAACAGATTTTCAAATCAAACATAGTTTCAAAATTCGTAAACGAACGAAACGATCTAATAGTGGAACTTCTGCTGTGTAAATCATGCCCCTCTGTTGAGAGGAACAATTTACCTACTGAAAAATTTGCGACTGGCTTTGTGAAATTTTTTTAAATCTTTTCTGGAGCAGAATCTTTAGAGTAGCTTTCAGACTTCAAACGGTATTTGTCTTAGTGTTTATGTGACTGAGTGTAAACTCTTTACACTTAACTAATATATTTTGTTCTCACGATTGAACAAAAATATTTGAGTGAAAAAGACGGAAAAGTGAAATTATTTCAACACTCTCAATATATCTGGTCAATGATTAAGATACAAAAATTCCAATTGAGATAAGTGCCTGCATGGCATCTATATTCTATTAAAATTTAGTAAAAGGAATTCAAATATAATTCCAAACTTTAAAATATCTTTATTCATAATAAAAGCTTTTTAATCTTCCAAAAGATTACCACGTACAATTGGAGATAGAGAAACTTGCTCTATTCTCTTATAAAGTAATGAGCAACTGAAACAAAGTAATTGTATTAGGTAAACGTTATTATGAATATTGTAAAGATTCCAGTATTATAAAGCTGATCAAAAGTCTTGAACGGTGACAACGATGGCATGGTGCTCTTGCAGGGGAGATACCTCCAGGTGGAAACCCCCGCAGGTAGACGTGCAGTGCAGCGCCGAGTCTCACATCTCAGTGAGGAGAGGAATACCGCCACCTTCGGGATTTAATATGAACTATATTTACGGAACTCATGGCCAGAACAGATGACGTGTTCGGAAACACCAATCAATACGGCTACTTCATCGTCCTCCTTCCTGCATATCGTTTTATCCACATTCTACATTTCAGCATTACCACTATATATAATGTTTTTTTCTTTATTGTTTCAATTTTTCGGTCCTCTTAAAGTAGAACTTAATTAAGACTTTAATAATAATGTAGAAGATTAAAGTATATTCCTATATTCGAACTTTCATAGAGGCATTTTGAGTCTTTCTTCGTAAATCATCGTTTGACAGTTTCGAAAAATGCGAAATTTTCATCTAATTTAATATAATGAATAAAGGTACAAAAATATAAATATTAATGACGTGAGAAATTTTTACACAAACGTACACTGGAGATTGTTTTGGAAAATCAAAAAATACATCAAAATGGCGTGTATGTAAAATTAGTGAGTGCAGTTAGTACCATCCATAGAAGAAGAGTGAAGAATAAATTGAAGCCAATGTTGAAAAAACCGGGTGTTTGCCTTGTGGGCGGGAGTGTGAGCGGGGGCGTGCACGGGAGGAGGGCGGTGTCGGGCGCGGAAGCGGTGGCGGGCATGAGGGCAGAGTGGGGGCGGGCGCGAGGCGGGAGCGGGGGCT